TGAAAAAAACTGTTTTCATAATTGTTGTAAAATAGATTGAGTTCATATTTATATACCAGAACATATCTGTCAGGGATGACACCAAGGGTAGTCAATGTTAACTCTTTGTGTGACTCTGTTTAGGCTATTGATCTGTTCATATGCAGAGGCTAAAAATGTCCTCAAAATCTCATATTTCCCCCTTTTACAGTTCAGAGCCGTATTGAATGTGAGTCGAGGTGTAAGATATACATGTTGTTTATTCTGTTTTAAACGCATAGTGTATTGCATTACCTTAAAATATCATAGATCAATATAATCTCTAAACATTAACATAATGCATTCAAAATGTTACAGTGTGTATAAATGTATATCTATATCATTAATGTCTCTTAAACTTTTAACCGCTTAATTGATAATACGATCAGATAACGGACACTTTAATGCCAGACGCCATTTTTTTATTTATCAATAAGGCGCTTGGCAGACCGTTTCAAACTACATGGGGGATAGCTTTGAATCAATCTCTCTAGTGACTTAGAGTATTGGAGAACTGTTGAATCAATATCGTGTCAATGACGAAGTACACCCAAAAGAGAAATATTTATAGAACCATTTACATTGGATGGCCAGTATAGATGTTTATAAACCGTAAAAACATTCATTTTTTGGTGTGATACACAGATCAGATCATACTCGGCGTCGAATTAATTAAACATGAATTAAGTGACACAAAGTGCATTCAGTGAAAATTTAAGTATGATATAGAAGATGTATTACGTACTTGACCATATCATCCGTTAGTGCATACAGTATAGTTTATTTATGTTATATCATTTAAATTTTTCTGAATATAAATCAAATATTTGGTGGCAAATTGAATACATCTCCCAATATAGTTATAAAGATGACACCTAAATTCTCACACAAGGAGAAACGAGCTAAAAGGACATTTAAAGCTACAATATAGATAAAAAAAAACTGTGACATGCATCATTTTGGAAGAAAACACTTTCATAGACATGTATTTTTCCCGAATTCGGTTTTGGTAATTACAAACAAGTAGTATAAACATAAGGTTTTTTAAGTATCAGTCAATCGTAACTTGGCCTTTCGGTAAAGTCTGAAGTAGGACATCCGATATGTATCGGCTTCCTCCGTATTTGCATCCAGCCACTCCGGAACTCTCCGGATGTTGTGTCTTCATAATGAACGAAGATAAAAGACGAGGAGTTACGTCAGATAATAACCACTTCCGTTGAAACCACTTCATTTCAGTCTGAAGGATTGCCCTCTCACCGCATCGATATAGTACTGCATAAGGCTAACAGAACGTTCGCTTTGTATTAAAATGTTAGTGTTTATATATTATTAAAATTAGAATGCATACTCATTAGTAAGAATATAATAACTGAATTGCCTTGTGACCGTCTTTATTACTCGCCCCAGTATTCCGTCTTTGCGTATTGCAGAGTTATCTTCTCTTGGGAGCAGGGATTGATTGTTACGTCACTTGGTTGTGAGAGTAACGTCATCAATTTTTGAGAAAACGACGTAATTTTCTGGCACAAACCAATGACGTAACAATCAATACCTGCTCCCAAGAGAAGATAACTCTGCAATATGCAAAGACGGAATACATATCCTGAGTGTTATATGGGATTTTACCGTCTATATTACTTCTTTGACCCATATATCCTGAGTATGATATATATTGAAAAAAATATTGCAAATATATTCAAAGCAAGTGGCCCCTTTATCGAGAAAAGTTAACAGCCTTATGTTGTCTACACAGTTGGTATTAATGCCTTGTCCCAGGTGTACAAATTTTAAGTAATTTGTATCCTACAAACATACGTTTGTAAGGATCCTGTGTAAAACGGAATTTTACCGTTGATAGTACTTCTGTGGCCAACATAGTAGTAGTAAAGCAATGGAAAGAGACAACAACAACACCAACAAACAAACAAACAAACAAACAGACAGACATGAGAAAAAAGGAATATACGTAACCGACGAATACTTCAACAGTCAAGGTTAATGGAACAGCGAAAGCAAAAAACGAAACTGCGTTGAGAGAAATGTACAAAAAACAAAGATTGTTAATGGCACAGCTATTGCTATATCAAATTACTGAAAATTCAAATCTACTTCGTTAAGTGCCGCTTAAACTGAGCATAAGTGAATTTGCAACCATCTGTGTAATAAAAGATGATTTTTATTGCACTTAGTAATGCCATCGCAAACATACCTACAATCTTTATTGCAATAATATACTTTATTACTCTAAGTGTTGCAACAACGCTTCTGACCCTTTATCACGGCGTTACATAACGAGGACTGACGATGATATCGCGCTGTTTTAACAAACATACAAAGATACTGATATCTTAACCGAACCGATAATCTGCTAAAAATAACTTCAGAATATCAAAGAAGTAACAAAACCGGTATTCGAAACAAGCCAGGATAAAATATGAACAAAAAACTGATTAACACTGAGACCTTTGAAAAGTACAAGGAAAATGAGACCATGTGTTCCGGAAGAGTAAGTGTCTGTGTCAATTTGAAATAATATCAATATCTCAAATCAAGAGGCGTGGTAGTGATATCGAAACAATCAGGCACAATAATGAGTATAATCAAAAACATCGACCTTCCTCCCTCACATTCAACAAGGTCCTACCCTATTCACAGTTATGAAATGAAACACAATGTTGGACACACAACCGGAAACAACTGTTCACTATTGGACTCACAACTGGAAACAACAGTTCACTGTTAGACTCACAACCGGAAACAACTGTTCACTGTTGGACTCACAACTGGAAACAACTGTTCACTGTTGGACTCACAACTGGCAACAACTGTTCACTGTTAGACTCACAACCGGAAACTACTGTTCACTGTTAGACTCACAACCGGAAACTACTGTTCACTGTTGGATTCACAACCGGAAACAACTGTTCACTGCTGGACCCACAACCGGAAACAACTGTTCATTGTTGGACCCATAACCGGAAACAACTTTTCACTAATGGACTCACAACCGGAAACAACCGTTCAATGTTGTACAAAAACAACCTGCTACAATTGTTCACTGTAAGACATTTAAACTGTTACAAATGTTGGCTGTTAGGCATACCAGCTTTTACAACAATGAGAATGGATTGCTTAATGCTAGTTGCACTGATTAGATGCAGTGAAATCGAAATATATACCTAGTCATACATATGCTTGTTATAAACTTACGTTATCATTATGAAATGTTCTGAATTTAAATAAATCCAGTATTCGTTGAAACTGTTTTTTCTGGGAATATCTGAGATGTTCAAATTACAAGCAGGTGTCCGTTCTAAATGCGAGAGTGAATTAATGCAATATGAAATAATCCAAGCTGTCTTATGTAAGCGATTTTTTCCTGTATACATAACAGAATCTATATACAGAACATATTTCAGGTGCTGCAAGTATTTATAACACAGATGTTGAGACAAATCTATATTACAAGCATAAATACACGTGTGTGTTCATACCTGAATCTAGTTTCCCGTACTTCATACGAACTATTACTCTAAACAATTGATATTTGATAACGTTATGTGAAAAATGGTTTCCTTTCAGATACGCCCACACTAATAGGGCTGCATCAATGAAACCTCACCCAAACAAAATTCATTGTACCAGTGATCATTTATTCTCATTCATATTTATTTTTAGAAACATTTTAAAAGTCTTGAAACCACAAACAAATTTTAATGTCTAGACTTTTACTTTTTGTACTGTGTCATATGAGCTGAGCACAAAGTTCATTCATGAACATAAGGGAGGTTTCAGAAATTCAGACCCGTGATTCTAACATTCAGAGAAATTATCAAAATCAGTCTTAGTATTACAGGTTTCAGTCTACAATACGACATCTGCATTGGTTTTATGGAAAAAATGAAACCATCACTATACTCTATGCATATAATCTTTACCTGTGAAAGTTTTGCCTACTCTTCAATCCATTTGCTGGCTTTTTTTTTTTACCAAAAACATATGTTAAAATGAATGCATTTGCATATATGGTGTACATAGTTAGAAACATTTAACATATCACGGTTTGTGTGTTAGTTCCATCTCTGTTATTATACAAGGTGTTTGTAATGTATGCATAATAATCGGTTCTAGTCGCACTTCGGGCTGTATACATGAACAACGATGACCTCATATATTGCTTTTATAATAGCGAAAACTCGTTATCTGAAAATATGCCTTTATCTTTTACGTATTAAGAGACATAATTGAGTGTTAGGGACTTTAAAGTTTTTACAAAGGCGAAGGTAATCAATATGACAATTGTGTCCACAGATAAGGGGGAGGGGAGAGAATGAAGGGGAGGGGGAAGTCATTAACATGTTAAAGTGCTACCACTTTCAAGTATTAAACTGCAAGTTTGATGTAAGGATCATATTAACATCAAACTCAGTTTTACCGACAGCATCCAACTGCTTGTTGCTTAGGAGTCACCACCAACGCAGCGTATAGTTCACAGAAAGGGATCGAAAGTTCAGAGATCCCCGTGTTTGTCGTCCTCAGTAAACGAACACTAGGGAAAGCACAAAATCCCCAGCAGGGAATATAAGTCGCAGCTGACGAGCATGCAGTGGGATACAACAGACCCGAACGGTTTTCTCCCGAACCTGCTTGGGAATGTATATGAAGGTGTATCTACACATTTTAGAATATTATAATATTTCGTTTGATATAAATGATGACTAATGTGTTAATGGGATACTTTGTAATGCTTATCGTACATGCAGCTGAAAACGCCTTGATGGCAACACTGATAACGACTGAAATATGACAAATGGATAATCATGGAGGAAAGATGTTTACCTAAACTGAGAGAAATGATGATGATGATGATGATGATGATGATATAATTATTATCTATAATGATGATGAAAAATGATGATAATATAATTAGTATATATTATAATAATAATAATAATAATAATATAAAAAACCATAACTACCTTTGGCTGAACGTATCGCCGGAAGTCCAACCATCTAACAGTCGCACCTGACTGCCATCTCGTATTTCCATTTGTTAATGTATTAAAGACGGCTCCCTTTATAAAATAAACTGCACGGTCCATCTGCCAGTGTGTAGAGAGTACTCGATTCTAAATCACACCTGTACACCTCCAAGATGTCCATTAACTGTGACATAATCTTCTTTATCCTCAGGTCCGAATATCCAAACACATTTATATCAAACAACCGTTTTGCTTAAGAAAACAATTAAATAGATTATCTTGTTTTAAAAATTCGCGAATCCAAACTCTATATAAGTTTTCGGTGCGCGTTAGCTGGCATGGTTTGTGTGGTGAGCGTGTCTCATGGTCTTCAGAAACTGGCATCCGCTGAGCCTACACCACACACTATCGCCTAGCGCTCCCTCTTGGTGTATCTAAACTCCATGAGTCAGTCTATTGGGTCCTATTAACATATTATCAGAACTCTTACTTCCATTTGTTTTACTGGCTGTGATAACTCTTGATTCTTCTTTCGTATTGATGACTCTGGAATAGATTTTGTACACTCTAGTTAACATCTGGAAGTAAACTCAAATCGTCACATTCAAATATAAACATCGAAAATAACATTTAAATAGTCACCATCAAAATTCAACCATTCAGCTAAATATAAATCGTCGTCTCTAAAACAGTTATCTCAAAGTATAAAACATCAAAGCTGTAACTTAAACACTTACCCCCAAATAATGAAAAATCCAAGCTAAACGTTTAATTGTCATATCCTTTGATGTCACTTGAAAATGAAAGACATCCTGACTTAAAGCTTACACACACGGAACTGGGTAGTGACGTGAATCGGTGACCGCCCGGAAATGATGCTGGAAACTGGGTATAAAGATTCAACGAGTAAACCATAAACAACATAAAACGTGTTGTTATCACAGCTGGGTTACACGACGTTATCTTCTGTTCTGATTAACACAAAAAATATTAAGTTTAAAAAATATGAGCCAGACATATTGTTGATATACATATACATATATATACAAAGTTATATGCCCATAAGACACCACTTAATGTAGCTACATACTGCATTACAACATATAGAGCCGACAAGTGTATTCGTACTCATGATTTTGCTTGCAGGAGGTATAAACGTGAATACAACACAGGTTATATATATATGTATGTATGTATTTTACATATGTACATGTACGCGAGAAAGTGGGTCTGTAATTGAGCCCTGAACAGCTTATGTTTATAAATGTTTAGATTAAGTCTAAGAATACCAATGTAAGGTGTCCTATGATATGCACATTTAAATGCCTTGCATCGTTTGACGTACACCACATGTAGATTATTTGACCTGTTATCTGTTATAACAGAGACGTAAGTGGGGGATTCCCCGTTGTTACTATACTTTGATAAGAGGATTGCCTCAAACACATTAAATGTAGTTCAGTGTGGCACACAGCGGATGACCTAACTCCGCGGCAATCAGATTGTTGACTGTCACCAAGCATACATTCACCTTGAGATAACTAGAGCAAGGTCGTTAGGCACTAAATGTTGCTAAACTCGGTGCACTGATCTACCAGGTAAAACCAGTTAAATATATAAGTAATCGCTCTTTTTGCTTTACGTATCTGGTACATGGTGTTACGCCGTTTTAATAACAATATGCTCCTTTATCAAATGGCTGTATTTCCTGGTTAAGTTTCCCAACATTAATTTCTATATTGTATAAAGACACGAGGTTTACCGAGTGTCTTTTTCAATTTGAAGATTAACTAACGATAGTTAAATAAACATGATCATCAACCATCACAGTTTTTCGGCATTTGGTGGATCAGTATAATATATTTAGATGGTGGATCAGTATAAAGATTAAGACGGTGGATCAGTATGAAGTATTTAGACGGTGGATCAGTATAAAGTATTTAGACGGTGGTTCAGTATGAAGTATGTAGATGGTGGATCAGTATAAAATATTTAGACGGTGGATCAGTATAAAGTATTTATATGGTGGATCAATACAAAGTTTTTAGATGGTGGATCAGTATAAAGTATGCAGAGGGTGGATCAGTATAAAGTATTTAGACGGTGGATCAGTATAAAGTATTTAGTTGGTGGATCAGTATAAAGTATTTAGACGATGGATCAGTATAAAGTATTTAGACGGTGGATCAGTATAAAGTATTTAGACGGTGGATCAGTATAAAGTTTTTAGATGGTGGATCAGTATAAAATATTTAGATGGTGGATCAACACAAAGTATTTAGATGGTGGATCAGTATAAAGTATTTAGATGGTTGATCAGTATGAGATGGTGGATCAGTATAAAGAATTTAGACGGTGGATCAGTATAAAGTATTTAGATGGCGGATCAGTATAAAATATTTAGATGGTGGATCAACACAAAGTATTTAGATAGTGGATCACTACAAAGTATTGAGATGGTGGATCAGTATAAATATTTAGATGGTGGATCAATACAAAGTATTAAGATGGTGGATGACTATAAAATATCTAGATGGTTGATTAGTATAAAGTATTTAGACGGTGGATCAGTATAAAGTATTTAGATGGTGGATCAATACAAAGTATTAAGATGGTGGATGAGTATAAAATATCTAGATGGTTGATTAGTATAAAGTATTTAGACGGTGGATCAGTATAAAGTATTTAGATGGTGGATCAGTATAAAGTATTTAGATAGTGGATCAATACAAAGTATTGAGATGGTGGATCAGTATAAAGTATTTAGATGGTGGAGCAGTATACAGTATTTAGATGGTGGATCAATATAAAGTATTTAGACGGTGGAACAGTATAAAGTGTTTAGACAGTGGATCAGTATAAAGTATTCAGATGGTAGACCAGTATAAAGTATTTAGATGGTGTATCAGTATGAAATATTCCGATGGTAGATCAGTTTAGAGTATTTAGATGATGAATCAGTATAAAGTGTTTAGACAATGGATCAGTATAAAATATTTAGATGGTGGATCAGTATAAAATATTTAGATGGTGGATCAGTATAAAGTATTTAGATGGTGGATCAATACAAAGTATTTAGATGATGGATCAGTATAAAGTGTTTAGACAATGGATCAGTATTAAATATTTAGATGGTGGATCAGTATAAAATATTAAGATGGTGGATCAGTATAAAGTATTTAGATGATGGATCAATACAAAGTATTTAGATGGTGGATCAGTATAAAGTATGTAGATGGTTGATCAGTAAAGTATTTAGACGGTGGATCAGTATAAAGTATTTAGATGGCGGATCAGTATAAAATATTTAGATGGTGGATCAGTATAAAATATTAAGATGGTGGATCAGTATAAAGTATTTAGATGGTGGATCAGTATAAAGTATTTAGACGGTGGATCAGTATAAAGTATTTAGATGGTGGATCAGTATATAGTATTTAGACGGTGGATCAGTATGAAGTATTTAGATGGTGGATCAGTACAAAGTATTCAGATGGTGGATCAGTATAAAATATTTAGATGGTTGATCAGTATAAAGTATTTAGACGGTGGATCAGTATACAGTATTTAGATGGTGGATCAGTATAAAGAATTTAGATGGTGGATCAGTATAAAGTATTTAGATGGTGGATCAGTATAAAATATTTAGATGGCGGATCAATACAAAGTATTTAGATGGTGGATCAGTATAAAGTATTTAGACGGTGGATCAGTATAAAGTATTTAGATGGTGGATCAGTATAAAGTATTTAGATGGTGGATCAGTATAAAGTATTTAGACGGAGGATCAGTATAAAGTATTTAGATGGCGGATCAATACAAAGTATTTAGATGGTGGATCAGTATAAAATATTTAGATGGTGGATCAGTATAAAG